ATGCGTGGTGGCGGGGGTGCGTAGGGGGGACGGTCGGTTCGCCCCCTCATTGTGAGGTCCTTCCCGATTATCGACCCCTGCCAAAACATACGACATGTGCAGCCCGGTTGGTATCCCAGGGCGAGCAGGCACGAAGGCCCCATGGGACTTATGGACCAGAAGGCCCCGCCAGCCACCACATGCACGATCCCCGCGCCTGGGAATTCAAGGTGGAAGAGGAGGAGGGGGAGGGGGAGGAGGAGGAGGAGGAGGAGGAGCAGGAAGAAGAGGGCCCCTCGTCCTCGTCCTCTGATGTCTGGGTCAGCCGTGCAAACTCAAGGGTGGCCCTCATGCGGGAGAGGGCTCCCTGAGCTTGTCTTGTCACTACCCCGGCCCGGCCCCTCTCAATGTCGCGATGTGACCCTTGTTCCCGTTAACGCGTGTTCCCTGGTCGTCCTTCCAAAACACTTGCTCTGCAATGTCCAAGACGGGGATTATGTCCTTTTCCCATTCCTAGTTTGGCGTGCCCGTCTGTTCCCCCTTTATCCTACGGGTGAAGGTCTTGTTGCTCTCAATATCGAAAGCACGGTTTTCTCTTGTCCCCCAGATCCTGAGGACGGGTTTCTTCTAGTTCGCCAACGCCGGCTTCTCACATCTCCTTCACCCCTTTCCTTATGAAGGAAAGATGTTGGTGACGATGCGGGTAATGATGATGACGATGATGATGATGGTCTGGACGATGAAATATGGCTGTCATCTCAAAGGATGTGTGTCCTGTCGGACATTGCATACAATGAGTCTCTACTGCAGTCGGGTGGGAGGAGTTGGAGGATCGGAAGCACGAAATCATCCTCTCCTGCCCAGTTCGTCGCGTTTTCGTATCATTTCTCTTCCTCCCCGTGCCCCTCTAGCTACTCCTTCTCCATCCCGCCTATCGCATCGCTGATCGTTTCACATGTCTGTAGCAAGGGCTGCCCTCGGAAGAAATTTGCGCCCTCGCCGATGCCTCTACAATCAGTCCCGACCCCAGGAACCCCACGATGTGTCGTCCAATGCTTGGCTGCTCTTCTGCGAATGGAGAGGCAGGTGTCTGAAGCATGAATTACGTATGCGGCCTCGCTTCACCCTTTTTTCCAAACCGTAGGTTGCATTTTTTGGCTCTGAGTGTTTTCTGCGTGGTGTTGGTTGCACTGCTGCGAAAGGGCCAGCTGGCGCTTCTGGGACGGAATCCGTCGATCGCCGCAGTCTGCCGAGAGCTTTCCCTGTCTGTTTTAGGCATTGCCGACGGATGGGCCATTTTCCCATCCCTCGCCTCCTGGGGCTGTCTCCCCAGGTGGCTATCTCACGCGGTGTTCGCTGCGCCCAGTGATGAGATGTGCCTTTTTAGATGGGTGTCGCCCGACGCCTGTGCACAGCATCTGGACTCAACAGAGAACAGCGCAACCCTACCGTGCTGTTTCTGTCCGCTGGTGGCCCAACTGGCACTTGCAATTTCTTTTGGCATGTGCCGCCGTTCGATGGCGCGCTTAAGGGTACGCAAGAAATCCGTCGATTTGATTTTCCCGACCATACTTTGGTTTTGGTCTTCGTTTTGATCAGCACACCGCCTCGCGCGTCCTTACCTTACCTCCCCAGAACAAGGCTCGCATGCGTGATTACTCCCATGTCGACGCACCCCTCACGAGGATCGTGGCCATCGTTGTCGCATAGGGAGCTCCAGCGAAGACCACATTGGCAGGGCTTCCATGCGTGACTGCGTCCATTTCCTCAACCGAAGGCCCCAACGGCCAGGCTCACATGCGTGACCGCGCCCACTCGGCACACCCTTCACGATGATCGTGGCCCGATAGGGTTTTTCCGAAGGCCACAGTGGCGGGTTTCACATGCATGATATATTGTATTGCTTCGCGTGTTCAAGCTGGCGTCATGGCAATCAGGTTTGTGCATGATCGGGTTGCAGCAATAGGATGAAACAGGATGAAACAACGCTTCTGTTACCGTGGTAATAACAACACATACGGTGGGATGCTTTACATCGTCGGAACTCGGCGCGGATGGGCCGTGGGCTTTCTAGATCTGTTCCGCGCAGATGTCAAACTGGTGTCAGAGCGTTTCTTTTTATTGTTGTCAGCTCTGCGCACGGAAGCCAGTTGAAGCCCCCGCCTTGTCCATGGATCTGACAGCGAAGAAGACAACGCTCAAACAAGTACATTGAGCACGCAAACAAACTAATCGTCAATTTAGCGTTACCAGCTTGTCATCCGCGCAAACTCAAAAACGCAAAGCAAAAAACATTGCGTCGCTTTATCATGAACACAGACCTCCACCGAAGGCCCCAGTGGCAGAGCTCACATGTGTAGCTGTGCCCTTTGCGGCACACCCGTCACGAGGACCGTGGCCCCAAAGGAGCCCCAACGAAGGCCATAGTAGCAAGGCTCGCATGCGTGACCGCGCCCTCTCTGGCAGACCCTTCACGAGGACCGTGGCCACATAGGGAGCTCCACCAGGGGCCCCAGTGTAAGTGCTCGCGTGCGTGACTGCGCCCATTTCGGCACACTCCTCCAGGGATCGTGGCCCGATAGGGCGCCCCACCGATGGTCCTGTGGTAGCATTCGGCTGCGCCCATTTCTGCAGACCCCTCACAAGGATCGAGGCCGCTCAGGGAGCTGCATCGAATGCCCCAGAGGCAGGGCTCGCATGCGTGACTGCGCCCATTTCCGCACACCCATCACGAGGATCGTGGCCCGATAGGGAGCCCCAACGAAGGCCCTGGTGGCAGGGCTCTCGCATACGTGACTGCGCCCGCGAGTGACAGGACTCGCGTGCGTGACTGCGCCCATTTCGGCACACCCCTCACGAGGATCGTGGCCCCACGGGGAGCCCCACCGAAGGCCCCAGTGCCAGGGCTCGCATGCATGACTACGCCAATTGCCTGGACACCTCTCCCGAGGATCGTAACCCCATGGGGAGCTCCACCGAGCATGCGTGATTACGCCTATTTCGACCCACCCTCACGAGGATCGTGGCCACTTAGGGCGTGACAGCGCCATTTCCGAACACCCATCACGAGGACCGTGGCTCCAAAGGAGCCCCACCGGAGGCCCCTGTGGCAGGACTCGCATGCGTGACTGCGCCCGTTTCGGCAGACCCTTCACGAGGATCGCGGCCACATAAGGAGTTCCACCAGGGGCCCCAGTGTCAGGGCTCGTATGCGTGACTACGCCAATTTCGGCACTTCTCTCCCGAGTATCGTGGCCCCATGGCGAGCTCCACCGAATGTCCCATCAAACAATGGCGACAGTGTTGTCATCTGGGCCGTGCGAGCCCATCAACAGCATCGTTCCCCTACTCCACATGCTTCCGTTGTTTGCCAGATCCGCGCTGACAGACGCGCAGAACGGCCGTAACGTGTCACATCAAACTATAACCCGTGACGCCTGATCTTTGTGACCCCATCAACGTCACCGCTTCGTCATTTCCACCCCTGTCCTGGTCATGTTGCTCGTCCCCTTCCTTAGCTTCCACTTGTCTTGCGGCCCTCGCACCTGCACATGGTTTGGGCTTTCGTCAAAATATGTTCAAGTGCGCGGCCCCACCCCAGGGATAATGTTTCGTATTGGATCAAAGTCTGATGGCCCCAGAACGCAACCCAGAGGCCGAAACTGAAGGAAAACGCCAGGATTGCAGCCAGTAGACCGCCAGATATCTGGACCTGTGTCCTCCTGGATGATGCCCTCTACAAGCAGCCCCCACCGTAGTGCGAGGAGGAAGAGGAACGGCGGCACGAGGAGGAAGAGGTGGAGGAAGAGGAGGAGTTGGAGGAGAAGGAGGAGGAGGAAAGAGGAGGAGGTAGAGGCGGATGCCCAGTCTCGACGAACACACACACACACACACGCACGCACGCACGCACGCAAGCACACAGACACACACACACTTGCACGTGCACTTGAACTTACACTTACACTTACAGCTACACTTACATGTGCACTTACAATTACACTTACACGTACACTTACTTACACTTACATTTGCACATACCCGTTGTTTTACACTCACACTTACACTTACACTTACACACGCACACGCACACGCACACGCACACGCACACGCACACACACGCACACGCACACGCACACGCACACGCACACGCACACGCACACGCACACGCACACGCACACGCACACGCACACGCACACGCACACGCACACGCACACGCGCACGCGCACGCGCACGCGCACGCGCACGCACACGCGCACACACGCACGCACAGACACAGACACAGACACAGACACACGCACACGCACACACACACAACACACACACACGCGCACACACACACACTCACTTCACAGACGTGAAGTGACCCTCATTGTTGCGGGAAACAGGACACCCCACGCGCTTCACCATACGCTTGGGCACCAGGACAACCCCGCAGACACAGTAGCACCCTCTTATCCCGTCATCCGCCCCCTTCTCGTCCTCGTCCCCATTCCCCCCTCCCCTCCCTCTTCTAGTTCCCCCCCTTCCATCCCATCCACTCCTTCCTCGTCCCCGTCCTCGCCCTCCTCCCCTCCTCCTCCTCCTCCTGCTTATGTTCCTCCTCCTCCTCCTCCTCTGTTTCCTCCTCCTCCTTCTCCTCCTCCTCCTCCTCCTCCTCCTCCTCCCACTCCCTCCTCATGCCCCTCCTTGCCCTCGTCCTCATCACGCTCCCGTCCCCCTGCCCACCTCTCTCCTCTCCTCTCCTCTCCCACGTCCCTATTTCCCCCTTCCCCTCCGCCCCGTACTCTTCATCATCCACCATCTTCCTCTCCCTCCTCCCCACTCCTTCTCCCCTCCTTCTCCCCTCCCCCTTCTTGTTCCCCCCTCATCCGGCGACCTTCTTCGATTAGTGCAAATTGCCGCCTGCATTCTCAATGCGCTGCATCAACATGCCTGTAAAAGCGAAACGGACAACACACAGGAACAAGTTGGCGGCGGGCGCTCACAGCGCCGACGGTCGCCGCCACCCGCCGTCCGCCGCAGGCTCGGTCGCGCGGCATCCGCTGCCCCCCCCCCTCCCCCGCCCCCCCCGCAACCGCGCCCCTCCGCCGCGCCTCCGCGGCGCCTGCGGCGCGAGCGCGATGGCCCAGGACCGGGGGGTCGGCGGGAGGGTCTGCTCCCTCCTCCTCCTCCTCTTCCTCTTCCTCCTCCTCCCGTTGTAGGGGCTCATGAAGAGGGAGCTTGGAGGGAGGGCTTATTCCCAATATCGTTGATGACCCTGGGTTTACACCGGTCCTCCTCCTCCTCCTCATCATCCTCCTCCTCCTCCTCCTCTTCCTCCTCCTCATCCATTCCTTTTCCTTATACATCATTTCTCCCTGTCGCACCCCGAGGCCAGTTTTGAGGGCGGGCCGGGCGATTCGCTTGAGACTCCCTCACTGTGTATGACCCTGAGGCTTAAAACATTGCAACAGCTTCACAGATGGAAGGCGGGTCGTTTTCAAATGTGGCTCTCGCCCTAGCACCGAGTATATTCTTTTCAAACGTTTGCAAGAATTTCACGGATTGAGGGCGGGTGGTTTTCAAAATGTGGTTCTCGCTTCCGCGCCGCGTACATTCGTTTTAAACATTTGCAAGAGCACGGATTGAGGTCGGTCCGTTTTCAAAATGTGGCTCTCGCCTTAGCGCAGCGCACATTCTGTGTAACAGAACTCAAACGCTTCATTGATTGAGGGCTGGTGATTTTCAAAATGTGGCTCTCGCCTGAGCGCCACGCACATTCGTTTTGACAAGTGCAAGGGTTTCCCGGCTTGAGGGCGTTTTCAAAATGTGGTTCTCGCTTTAGCTCTCCGCGTATTTATTTATAATTCGTTGCAAGAGCTTCACGGATTGAGGGCGGTTCATTTTCAAAATGTGGCTCTCGCCCTAGCACCGCGCGCATTCGTTTTTCCCAGCTATCCTGTGGTGTTGGGTCTTCGTTTTGAAAAGACAGCCCCCCGCGTTCACTCCTCCTCCCGTTGCCCCCTCCCTCCTCCTTTCATCGTCATCATCATCATCGCCTGTTTCAACACACCCCCTTACACGCTTCGTGGCCACATAGAGAGAGCTCCAGCGAAGGTTCCAATGGCAACGTCCACATGCGTCCGCCACACCCATTTCGGCACACCCCTCACACGCTTCGTGGCCCCATAGGGAGCTCCACCGAAGGCCCCAGTGGCACCGTCCACATGCGTCCGCCAAACTCATGTCGGCACACCCCTCACACGTTTAGTGGCCCGATATGGAGTTCCCCCAAAGGCCCCAGAGGCACCGTCCACATGCGTCCGCCACACCAATTTCGGCACACCCCTCACACGTTCCGTTGCCTATTCGGAGCTCCACTGAATGCCCCAGTGGCACCGTCCACATGCGTCCGCCACACCCATTTCGGCACAACCCTCACACGTTTCGTGACCCCATGAGGAGCTCCACCGAAGGCCCCAGTGACACCGTCCACATGCATCCGCCGCACCCATTTCGGCACACCCCTCACACGTTTCGTGGCCCAAATGGGAGGCTCCACCCAAAGCCCCAGTGGCACCGTCCACATGCGTCCGCCGCACCCATCTCGGCACGACACTTACACGTTTCGTGGCCCCATAAAGGAGCTCCACCGAAGGCCCCAGTGGCACCGTCCACATGCGTCCGCCACACTCAGGCCGGCACACCCCTCACACGTTTCGTGGCCCCATAGGGCGCTTCAGCGAGAGCCCCACTGGCCCCGTCTACATGCGCCCGCCACACCCATGCCGGCACACCTCCGACGTTTAGTGACCCCATATGGGGCTCCACCGGAGGCCCCAGTGGCACTGTCCACATGCGTCCGACACCCATGCCGGCACACCCCTCGCACGCTTCGTGGCCTCATAAGGGAGCTCCGCCGAAGGCCCCAGAGGCACCGTCCACATGCATCCGCCGCACCCATTTCGGCACACCCCTCACACGTTTCGTGGCCCCAAGGGGAGCTCCACCCAAAGCCCCAGTGGCACCGTCCACATGCGCCCGCCGCACTCATGTCGGCACACCCCTCACACGTTTCTTGGCCCCATAGGTTGGCCCCTTCGACCCCTCTTGTCGCATTGCCCCTTTCGGCACACGCCTCCCCTGTGGTTGGGTCCTCCGGACCCAACAATATGCAGCTGTGAGCACCGCAGTCGTGAGTATCATCCTGAGCGGAGCTCCCTGTGGGGCCACGAAACGTGCGAGGGGTGTGCCGACATGGGTGCGGCGGACGCATGTGGATGGTGCCAATGGGGCCTTGGATGGAGCTCCTTTGTGGGGCCACGAAACGTGTGAGGGGTGTGCCGAAATGGGTGTGACGGATGCATGTGGACGGTGTCACTGGGGCTTTGGGTGGAGCTCCTCATGGGGACACTTGAAACGTGTGAGGGGTGTGCCGAAATGGGTGCGGCGGATGCATGTGGACGGTGTCACTGGGGCTTTGGGTGGAGCTCCTCATGGGGACACGAAACCTGTGAGGGGTGTGTCGAAATGGGTGTGGCGGACGCATGTGGACGTTGCCATTGGAACCGTCGGTGGAGCTCCCTATGGGGCCACGAAACGTATCAGGGTTGTGCTGAAACGGGCGATGACGATGATGATGATGATGATGGTGGGAGGAGGAGGGGGGAGGAGGAGGGGAGGGACGTGGGGCGTTGTCTATTCAGAACGAGGACCCAACACCACAAAATGGTTGGTACAACCATGCAAGGGTTTCACGGATTCCCATGGTCAACGTACCAGAAACGGTGTTCTGGAAAAGGCTCAGGATTATGAGGGTGCAACAGTTACGTTGGTTCGCGGTGTTGAAGTCCCAGAAATGGCGCCCTGGTAAGATCCAGGATCGTCAAGACGCAACAGTCTGGTTGATCCGTGGCGTTGGAATCCCGAGAACAATGTTTGGCATGCTTCAGGGTCTTCCAACGAGGCGATTGCCTCAGCGGAAATGCACCGCTCTGGGGGCCTATACAGAGGGAGCTTGGAGAGAGCGTTTGTTCCAACATCGTTGATGATTCTTGGGCTTGAACTGGTCCTCCTCTTCCTCATCTTCTTCTCCTCCTGCTTCTCCTCCTACTCCTCCTCCTCCTGCCTGTGGTCGAAGGCCTCGTCATCCCGCTCGGCGTTCAGCACAACTTCGCGTTCAATTGACTCAAGCGTTGTTTCCCTATTCGGCATGGCGTTCCCTTCGGAGTGAGTGAACATAGGTATCAGTGGAGGTACTCTGGTTGGTATCCGTGTGATCCGTCCAGCTCTGGATTCTTCATCATGTTGGCCTTCATCTTGCAGCTCATGGAAGTGAGGTGAGGCGCGATTCTCTTTTGGAATTCACTTATGTGAATGCGTACCCCTTACAGTAATACTGGAATCCTCCTCCTCCTGCTCCTCCTCCTCCTCCCACTTGTGCTCCTTCTCTCGCTTCTGCTCCTCCTCCTCCTCCTCCTCCTCCTCCTCCTCTTCCTGCTCGTCCTCCTCCTGTTCCTCCTCCTCCTCCTCGACCCTTCCTCCTTTCCTTCCTCTTCCTCCCTCTCGTTGTCCTCCTGATCCTCCCCCTCATGCTCCTCACCCCTTCGTCCTCCTCTCCCTCTTCCTTGTCCTCCTCCCCTCGTCCTCCGCGGATCGGTGGGCTGGTCCGCTGCCGCGGAGATGGAAGGGAAGGCTGTCTACGCCTCCACTGGGGAGCCGACCCCGACCCCGCAGATCTCCACTCCAGGGGAGCGACCACGCGCCTGCGGTGCTAGACATTTGGTGATTTCGAGGATTGAGAGCCCCTCTGGCACGAGTTCGGACGAGATGGTGAAGAGCACCCTTGGGGCTGGGGTGAAGTCAGGCCTGTCCCTCTACAGGAGGAAGATTCAGAAATATTCAAAACATTGTCTGGGGACGTTTTTTTCTAGTATCTTTTAGCTGTTTTTGATTTTTTTGTTTTTTTGCATTTCGCGCCAAACCCGCCTGCAGGAGGACACGCCCGACCTAACCCTGGGCGCTGGGGTCCCGGGCTGGCCTCCCCCGCGCGCTGGCTGACTCGGAGCCGCGGTCTGTTGCCTCCGAGGGCCTTGGTCGTTTGGACCCCTTCACCACTCGCAAGCTTCGCCGGAAATTGCAGTCGAAGGGTCCGATCAAGTTTTGATGTTTTACCCCGCCTCTCACGGGAGCTTTCACTCGACTTTTCGTCGTTTGGGGCTCGCTTGGCCTCACCTGCGGTCGCGCAAGCCACGGCCACAGATATTTCCCTGGACGCTCTGCTCACGGAGTTCCCCATCCAGTTGTTGAAGTAATGGTGCGTTGACTATCGCTTCTCTCGTCGAGCAGTGTGGAAAGCGAGTATCTCAGAACCTGTAGTTACCAAAGGGACTGCAGCAACAGACTGCAGCAGCGCATTGGCGCTACCAAGCTTGCTACTGCTCACTCAGATCATAAATCTTCAGCGCCTGCACCCTCGGGCCTGATGGCCCTTGTGGCTGGTCTCGACAAGAAGAAGCTCAGAGTCAAGTGGGATTGTGGATCTGGACCTGGCGCAACGCTGGGATGCAAACTCAGATCGAGACGTGCATGCTGGTCGCTGTCTTGGTACAGGTGCCGGCAGCGGCGCCAGCCGCAGCGTACACGAGAGCGAGATAAGAGAGGCTGGCCAAGGCCAAAGCTGTCTCCGCCCGCGCAGTCCAGCTCAGACAAGCTGATGAAGCTGATGATGATGCTGATGATGCTGATGATGATGCTGATGATGATGCTGCTGCTGCTGATGATGATGATGCTGATGATGCTGATGATGTTGATGATGCTGATGCTGCTGGCGCCAGTGTCGGCACGATGAGGCGGGGCTCCCGGCTCCCCCACGGCGACGGCTGCTTGGGGATCGGCCGTCGCTGGCCTCTAAGTGATCACACGCTGCACTCTCTCTCTCTCTCTCTCTCTGCGGGTGCCTCGGCCCTTCGAGCGGAGGGCCGCGCTCCTCCCTGGGACGTCGGCGGCACAGCGGCTGCGAGCGACGCCCAGAGGTGCCCTCTGAGGATCCATGCGCGGAGTCCACGCCGTACAGTCGAGGCTGATTCGTGGGGCGACCTTGCCAACTCAAGGGTACCCTTGCGTCCTGTGCCTCGCGACCCATCCTCTT